ACATGGTCATACATCATTTCAAATCTCGATTGCTTATTTTTGAAAGGTTAATCCTATGACACAACTTAATGGACTCCATGTTACTCCTTTTCTTTTTTATTTTTTTGTTTGTCCTAACTTTTGCTTAGACCGCCCTTTTGGATTTTCAGTCTAACAGACTTTACATTTTTTCACTTTTTTTTGCTCATAAGACTTGTCTCCATTAAATGTGGTAGTTGGTTGGACAAATACTCATAAAATGATAAATTTGCCCCGATGAGAAATCTTCAAATTTCTATTGTCAAACTTGCTAATTGAGAATCATCCAACAGAGTTGACTTTTGAGGACAAACTCTATTTTTTTGGAAGAATAATGAGAAAACTATGAGATGTAATGAGACAAAGACAATTTATGACAATGAAGATGACAGCACAACTTGTTATGCAAGTTAATGAAACAAATACTTCAAAAGGCTAACGATAGTTCTAAAATCATGTCAATTGACAAGTTAAATTGTAAGAGAGCTCATCTTCTCGGTTGAGAATTAAATGTAAGTGAGAACAATAATTTCATGTTATTCCCCATTTTTCTTTGTTTCTTGTTTTTTTTCTTTTTCTTTTGAGACATTGCATAAAATTGTTGCTTGGCATCCTTTTTAAAAGAAAATAATCAAATTATATATTTTGTTTTTTTTTTAAATGACATGAATGAGCGACCAATTAGACCTTTATTTTACTATGAAATGCATGTATAAAAGAAAAATGTTGGAATGAAGAATTTGAAATGAAAAAAAATGTTTTTTTGTTGTTTTTTGTTTTTTAGAGAAACAAATGCATTTGATTCGCGATGATAAAATGAGAATGAACGCAATTGTGGAGAATGAAAAGAAAAGACAATGGATATGCCTAATAAATATACCTAACATGATTACTTAATCTAAATAATGCTTATGCGTGAATGTCATGAGGGATTATGAAAATATTGAATGTTATGAGATACATTTTAGACTAAATGCTTAAATGGAATAATGATCTTACTTTGAATTATGCAAAAGAGAATTTTATTCATTTTCTTTAAGAAACAAAAATGTTAATGATGATGACAATTGCAATTTTTAAAGTTGTATGAATGATTTTATAGAATATTATTTTTTATGCAAAGATGTAAAATGCATATCATGAATAAATTACGAAATGTAGATGGATGCATGCATGCATGAATAATTTTTTGTGATGAGTGTTATATTGAAGGGGCATGATATATGATAAAAGTTAAAAGATAAATGTATGATGTGTATTATGAAATAGAATAAAAATTTCTCTCTTTTTTTTTGCGTCATTCGAACGTAAAGGTAGAATATTGCTCCTGTGATACTTAATAAGGGCATCCTTAAGTTGAAAACTCTATGGACTACTAACACGTGTTCCTCTCAAAAGGGTGGGACTATAGTTCTAAAACAGGTTCCTAGAGCCAATAACCCTTCTTAGGATATTAGTCACAATAATAGGTAAACTATTAGAGGTGATAATACCCTTGAAAGGATCAAACTCTAAGTGAGGCCTTCATAATAACGAAACAAGATGTTCATCAAGAAGGTTACTACTACTTAACCTCTTATTATCCTAAGTTGCACTCAAGTCCGGGCATAGGACCCCACTCATAAACGTGTATGAAATTGTGCAAGTGAAGTGTGTAAAGGGAGCAATCCTACATTATCCAATCTACAAAACACAGCACATATGATATAGAAAATAAAATTCTTCTACCCTAAAGTTCAAATTACACAACACATATTTATATAATTCATGCATATAAGACAAACAACAAATAAGGAACATAAACAAAAAATAAAATAAAATAAAAGTGATATAAACATTTTAAAAAATTATTAATTAGTTTAACTAATTATTATAGGCTTGACTCTCAAAAATAGTCCCTAGTGGAGTCGCCATCTGTAGCAACCTCGGTCGCGACGGGACGGAGAAAAATAAATTGAAAAAGAGGAGTCGCCACCAATATTGTTTTTTACGGAAAAACATTGGAAAAACCATAAAATAAAAAATAGTCTACGAAAACTAAATTCTTGGGTTCGGAAGTCGATTACATGTGAGGAAGGTATTAGCACCTCACAACGTTCGTCCTAAGACGATTACCTTTAATTAATTAAACTAATTATTAATAATTTATAAAATATTTATCTCACTAAAATGATCAAATATATTTTATTTAACTAAACTATCATTGTATATATATATATATAAAAGAGTTAAAATTATTATTGTTATATAAAAAGGAAAATAATATTTTTTATTTTTTTAGAGATGTTATGATATTAAAAAATTTATTAATTGGACATTTTCGTTTTTGGAGAAAAAATTTAAAGATAAGCTGTCACAACTTGTACTTTAAATTCAAAGGTTAAAAAGATGTCACATCTAGTTAACCATTCCTCTAATAAAATTTTTAATACAATAATTTCAGATATTTACATTAAATATTGTAACATTATATTTTGATATTTAATCACATTTTAGATTTAAATAAAGACTAATGACAGATATTATTAATATAAAAAATAATAATAATAAAAAGAAGTGAGTTCGATATACTCACTATTCTTCGCCCAAGAAGTGGTAACTCGCTGGTCTCTTCCTCCGGGTTCCCTCTAGTCCAAGGTGGAGATGTGTGTGTGGGTCTTTTGGGAAGGGGAAGGGCCGCTATTTATAGACTTTCAAGAGGGACCGGAACGACCCGTTTTGAATCTGGAACGGCCCGTTCTGAGGTTACAATTTTACTCACAACGGCCAACTTCGGAACGGGCTGTTCCAATTTCGGAACGGCCCATTCTGGGCTAGAATTTAGAGGTGTTTTTGGAGTTTGGAAACGGCCCGATCCGGGCTAGAAATTATAGTTCTTTTTAATAGGTTGGAACTCCCGTTCTAGTTTGGGAACGGGTCGTTCCAATTTTTGGGAACAGCCCGTTCTGGGCTAGAATTTATAAGTCTTTTTGGAAGGTTGGAACGGCCCGTTCCAGTTTGGGAACGGCCCGTTCCGGGCTAGAATTTATGGTTGATTTTGGAAGGTTGGAACGACCCGTTCCAGTTTTGGAACAGCTTGTTCCGGACTAGAAATTATAGGTTTTTTGGAAGGTTGGAACGGCCCGTTCCAGTTTTGGAACGGCCCGTTCCGGACTACTTAATCATATGAAAATTACTAAATTTCCCTCCATAAAAATATAAAAAAATGAGGTGTTACATTTAGCTTCTATATTTTTGTCTTTTTTATTCTTTTTTGAATATACCTTTTTTGCTATTTTTTTAAACAAAAATTGACATTTCCCGGACGAAATTGGATTACTACATATGATAATTGTTAAAGATGTTCTCTACATTTCAAAATTGGATCAAAATGTTCTTAGTGTTCCACAAATGCTAAGAAATGGTTATGGAGTCTTTTTTAAAGAGAATTATTGTTTTATCATGGATGAACATGGTTTAGAAATTGCAAAAATTGAGATGACCAAAAACAATTTTTATTTGAAATTTGATTTGGTTGAAGGTCATGATTTTATTGCTAAAATTGATGAGAGTAATGTTTGGCATGGAAGATTTGGTCACACTTTTATGCATGATGTATTTGATATGACAAATCCTAACAAATGGTATTCAAAGACAGGAGGAGGAGTTAGATTGAATGACTATGAAGACAATGATTTGGGTTAAGAAATTGAAGTACAACAACTTGATAACATGACTTTTCAAAACTCAATTTTTGGAGTTCATGAAACTAAAGTTTGTGATGTTCGTAGCAAATCTCAAGGAGGAGTGTTAGATTTATGAAATTTTCCTTTATTTAAATTTTGAATTTTGAATAAATTTTAGATAAGATATTTGTTATTGTTACAATTTTATTTATTATATTTTATTTTCAGTTATTCAATATAATCTTAACAAGTAGAGTTGTTAGTAGATGAAATTTGTTAGGAATTTTAAATTGATTGTAAGCCTATATATAGGCATCCTCTTCTATGAATTTCAATGGTAATTTAATTATAGTTTTCCATCTTCAATTTTAATTTTAATTTGTCTGCAAGATCCAATTTTTCTATATTTTTCACAAAATATATCCAACAAATCTCCTACCAAAAATAAAAAAATAAAAAAAATCTTTGTTTAGAAAGCTCTGAAGTGAGTCCTATATATATTTTACTTTTCTCTCTTTCTCATGAATTCCAAACGAGTTTTTTTTTTTTTTGTTGGAATTTGGGTTTTTCTCTCCCCAATTTCTCTTGTTCCAAATCATGTGTCATTCACAATGATACACCAATATGCTCTTCCTAAAAGCATACAATTATATGATATATGTATGTGGGAGCACGAGCATACAAGAAAAGGAATGATTAGAATTAGATCATCTTGGAGTTTTAAGAGAGTATGGTATGGGATCACAAATATCACTTGACAAGAGAAGAGAACATTCTCATGCCAAAATGTAGGACCAGAGTAGAGATACCCAAACCCATAATATCACCAATTTGAATCTTTTTGGTCCCCACAGCTTCCCTTTAATGCGTGATTGGTAAAGTGAAGTTGGTGCAAATGAGTTTGATGTTCATCTATTGGTGGTAGGGAGTTTAGTTAGCTGTTGCATCTTTCTTTCTGATAATGTTCACTCTTATCTCTATATGATGGTTCAATGCTCCTTTTGTGTACGTCTCTCAAGGTTATTTTCAGCATTTTGTTCTCAGACTTTGACAAATGGAAACAAGAAACTTCAATTTTGTCAAGTTACAAGTGCCATCCACGTGCCTTGATCAATAAAACCACGTTAAGTGGTCAAATGTCGCAAAAGTAACATTTTGTTGCTTTTGATAAACATGGAGAGAAAATGGAAACATCATCGTTGATTAACTTCCAAACACGCATTTAAAGTTAATTCAGCTCACAATCAACTTTGAACCTAGAATTAAGTCCTCAACATGAACAAACATACAAGTGTATTGATGTGAATCCAAACACACTCAACAACTCAGTCTCGTTTCCACGTTAGACCAAACAAAGGGTTCAAAGACATTTTACTCAAAAAACGAACACTTGGCTTAAGAAAGTAGCAAAGGATACAAAAAAGCAAAAGCAACATAGTACAACAGAAGTTATAAAGTGATAATGGGATACCAGAAATACTATATATACATTTAATAGTCGCTATAGTGATAGTTGCCTCAACCCCTCACGGGGGTTCAGAAAATAGCACAATCAAGGGTGTGTTTGCCATTTGCAGCCCCTCAAAGGGACATTCCTACTTTTCTGGGGAAGGAAACGTAGAAGCAACAAGGGTGTCATTGGTATCAAAGTCTGTTCAAGTTTGCTAAAACTGGTTTCCAAACACATACCTAGTCATCCTGTAATATCTTCCAATGTGCTATCATCTCAACTACTAGCCTCTGATTCTATCAAGAATTTCAAGACCCTTTAATCATGTTGCAACGAACAACAATCTTCCGGAAATCATCGAGGCTTAGCTGCAACAAAGCCCATTATTTTTTACCAACAACAACAACAACAATAATAATAATAATAATAATAATAATAATAATAATTCAAACATATTGCAAAAAAATTCTCCCGGTGATTTTCCACAATTATATGAAGTGGTTAAAATCATATTAGTACGATGTAAGAAAAAAGATCTATGTTTTCTGACCCTGAAGTTATAAGGAAAAATATGATTAACTCATAAAGTAAATGAGATTAACTGCATAGTATTAGACTATTAGTACTTGCAATCAACATAACATATTTGGACTAGTAAGTATGGTCCATATCTATGCTATATAGTCCAACAAAATTTAGCAATTATACGCCAAAATTCAAATTGAAAGTCATAGAAGCCTTAAGGTAATTCTATGTTCTCTCTGACCTCCAGCCAAAAAAAAAAAAAAAAAAAAGCAAATAAATAAATAAACATTGAAAGACCTTCTGATCCTTACCTTTCCATCTCCATCACTATCGAAGTAGCGAATCATATCAACCAACTCCTTGTCTGTCCATAAAAAATCATGAGCTGTAGCTGCCCTTTGTAAATCCCCCACATTTACAGTACCTTTGCCTGCTTCTGCATGCCACAACTTCCCTTGTCAATCACAACAGTCTTTGCACGCATTAGAAGCAGCAAAGGAAAAGGGAAAAATATTCTTTGTTCACCTATATATTAAACCAAACCTTAATCTAGATAAAATACCTATATGTTGATAGAATTATTGAATCTGCAGGCTTCTCATTTTTAGTTAGAGCTTAAGCAGCATCTTCTCTCATGTAATTTTGTTTTGGTTTAGAGAGGGAGGGCAAAAGAGATTATTTGGTGTAAGGGCAAGAACATGGCTTCTCAGACCATAATGCTTTTTATGTACATAGAAATACGTTATAGGAACTTATTTTCTGAATGTTCTAAGAAGTTGAAAGTGACCATAGGTCATTGTTTCCCATTTAAAATTAAATGAATCAAAACGGTAGGCTTACATACAACTCTAATAACCACCTACAACTACAAGTGCAGTATTTATATGGGTATGATATACTGTTCAAGGGAAAACAAAGTTTCTAGCTGATGAATAATAGATACTGATATAAGTATAAATCCTCCAATTAATCTCTCACCATTATTCCTTGTCCTTCACAAACAAAAAGTAGCAGGTACAGATAATATCAAATTACCATCAAGCTGGAAGAAGTTTAGAATGAGCTCATCCTCGGTCAGTTGCAGCCGACTGGCAAACTGTTGATATTGCAATTTGCAACAGTTAAATATTAAAAATATAAAAAAAAATAAAAAATAAAATAAAAAAGATCCAATTCAAACTAAAGAATTGTAAAGAAGGAAAGAGATTATTAGAATAGCAAACTCAATACAAACCGATTTTTTGTTCTTCTTTCTTCCCTTATCTTCTAGAATGTGATTGTTCCCCTTTTTCTCAGTCTTGCTAATGTTCATTGCATTCTTGTCAGGTGAATATGAACATTCTGCAGAGTCTTGCAAGGAAAGAGCAATTGCCTATCCACAGATATCATACATTTAGGATGCTTTTATTCATAGCATTATGTTGCTAAGCAGCATGGCAAAATGCTTAGGATATATCAAAACAAAACCTTCACGGTGTAAACATCAAACTACCTGCCTCAAAGCTTCGTCATCATCATAATTAATGCACTCTGAATTTCTTACATGCTTCTTCCTAGAGACTCCCGCTTTCTTTTTCAAACCCTTGTTCTTCACCTGCAGTTGGTATTAAGCAAAAGGAATGCAATTGTTTTAAATGTCAAACTTTCAAACCAGAAGTCAACAATCTGTCACAATAAGGGTCTATTTAGATAAACTTCTCCAAAAGTATTTATAAGAGAAAAAAATAAGATAAAAAAATGAAATAAGCTTTCTTATAAGATAAAATTAGTTTATGTATAAGTTAAAAACAAGTTTTTAGAAAAACTCATACGAGAAAGCTTTTATAAATTAACTAACACATGCCAATTGTAACGAAAAAACTAATCTCTTATTTTTCTTCCTATTTTTATTTCTTATAAATTCATTTGGAGAAGTTTATCCAAACAGACCTTAAGACAATATAACTACTTAAAAAACACAATGCCAAAAATCTTATAACTCATATCAAACCAACCAGCAACTACAGAAAAATGCAGCACATTTTACCAACAAAAATTGTGCAAAGAAGTAAACACACACAAAAATAAAAAAAATAAAAAAAATCCCAATAACTCAATTTCATTTCATTATAATCAAAACACCCAGATTTTATTTTAATTTTAATTATCATGCAGTTCCGTCTCAGTGTCAACTGCCAACTTGTGTTCTTCTAATGTTTAACCTTTATACAATTCGGTAACTTCAACTATATCAATGTGTCAGGTTACCTTATTGTTTAAAGTTAGCGTAACCTAAACTATTGACACTCATCCACTATCAGGACCAAATTGTAAAAATAACTTGACAAAAAAGATAAAAATGGAGCATTTATCGAAAAATAAATAAAAATTCACGACCCACCTTCCTTTTGCGTGACCCAGAAGCATTTCCGATAGCAAAGTCCTCATCTTTATGGTCCTCATCGTGTTCACTTGAAGAACTTGAACCGGGTTCGCCTTCATCGTCTTCGGGTACATACTCTTCGTCATCTTCATCTTTAACGTTCTTCTCTTTTCCCTTGTGAGGCTGCGAAGCTTTCAACGAAGAAGCCATTTGGGGCAAACCCAGAGCCTCCAATCTGGCTCTGTTCTCCGCGATTCTCGAGAGCCTCTGTTTCTCGTACTCCGACACGCCCTTCTTCCCATTGCCCACGCTTCGTGCCTCCTCGGACCCTGAACCCGAGGATTCGGAATCGGAAGTTTCGTGTTTCGCCATTTTCGATTGTTCTATGCTGTTGCTACTTTGATTCGGTTTCGGTTTCACCATTGTCAGTGTGTGCTTCTGAGTAGCCATGCGTTTTGGGCTTTGTTTGGACATGGCATATTCTGGGAGAAGATGGGCCTGATTTACATAATGGGCCTCGTCGAAGCAATGTCGAAGCCCAACTTTAAGGGTCATATAATGTCGAACTAATATATATACACGAGAGTTAATCATCCTTACATTGTCAGCGTAAAATTTTTTACATTAGCAACTAATTATATATTTTAATGTTGCTTATTTTATTATTATTTCATTAAATAAGTAACTGATATGTCACTAATAAAAGATATGATTAGTTGTTAATGTAAAAAAACTTTACATTAGTAATGTATAGGCGATTAACTCTATACATAATCATAAATTTTCTGTTTTTGTCATTGTAATTTTTATACATAAAAAAAAAAAGAAACAAATCATCAATCAAATCAATACAATTAAGGGTCAAATACCAAGTCTGTTTAGTTAATTTTGAAAATCATACTTAGAAAGAGCTGATGAAAAATTAGGTAAATCAGTTTAAAAATTGTTAAACCAGCAACAAAACTAATCAAACCGGTTCGATATTATTTATTATTTAATAAAACGTCATTTATTTTAATCTTTAATTAGCTATTTTCGAACATTGGATTAAAATCCTCAGCAAAAAAAACATTTATAATATTTATACGAGATTATTAATAATACTAAACAGAATTCCAACAAAACATAACCTAATTAAACGAAAGGTTCTACCTCCTAATGTAGCATCTTGTGTTTGGTGTGGTCTATGTGAGGAAACCTCATCCCATCTCTTTTTTGAATGTTTCCATGCTTTTAAAATATGGATGTCTTGTCTTCAATGGTTTGGATTCTCCTTTGTTCAGAATAATACTTGTTTGGCTAATTTCGAGTAATTTGTGGGAGTCCCAAATTGCAATGTTGTTAACCAGGTGCGATGGTCTTCTATTTGGTTGGTAACATTATGGTCAATTTGGCTTGCAAGAGGCAGTTTTCTCTAAAAAAATTATGGATCCTGAGGATGTGGTGGATTTAATTAAGTTGAGATCTTGGAATTGGTTAAGGGCTAAAGATTTAGCTTTTCAATACCCTTTTGCTCTTTGGTCTAATAACCCATTTTCTTGTTTAAATTTCTCCTGATATGGTTCTTCCTGTCTTACTTTCTAAGTGTTGACTGCTGTTTCTTATAATTTTCGTTTGAAGATCAATATGTTGATGATATTTTATTTCTTTCAGATGCTGTCATAATCTATCGTTTGAGATGTTACTGTCATTGAACGCACTACTTAGTTTCGAGAGTTACTAATGTCTATCAATAGTTGTCTAAGCACTTGATTATACTCACTGGGTAGTTGGTATTTTTGTTAGTTTTATATATCTATGTCTAAGATTTCTGAAGTTAATTTTTTGTATTATGGGTTAGAGTACCCCTTTGTACTTCTTTTTAATATATTTTTTCATTGTCTAAAAAAAATTATATTATACTATATTATATTTTGTTTAATTGATTAATATAAAATTAAAATAATATTCAATTATTTTCTTTTCAAATCACATTTAAATCATTAAATTTTATTAACATGTTCTTGGGGGAAGGGTAGAAATTGAAGGAAATAAGGAGAGATAAATGAGAATGGATTTGAAAGAAAATAAAATAAAATTCGTAATTGTTTATTAAAGTGAAATTATGTATAAAATAAAGAGAAGTTGATATACTAAATTTGTATTTTATGTAATTAGATTTTTTGTAAAATTAAATATTATATAATTATCATTTTACCCTTTATATTGAAGTGAGATTATATATATACTTTGTAATATAGTAGTGTATAATCAATTGCATACACTACATATATATTTTGTTTATTCTTTACATAAGATATTACATTATAACATATTCTAATATAGTTACTCATAATATCTTAATCTATTTGTATTCTATTTACAAATTTCATTATCTTAGTAGTATATTGAAATACGATAACATTTGTTACATATACGAGGATGTATTTATCATTCTATTCAACAAATCTCAATTCTATATTAATCTCCCTTTTGGATAGAGTATTTTTGCAGTTAACCTCAATTCACATAAATTTCTATACAATTCCTTGTAAATCACTTCTACCAAATAGGGATGTTTCTATTAAATCCTTTCTATAATCCACTCTCCTCTCCTCTCCTCAAATTCCTCTTAAATCATGTTCACTAAATAAAGTCTAAGGGTTTAATATGTTATAAATTTTATTGGTAGCTAATTGGATTCTTATATATATATATATAATAATAATAAAGAAAAATCATTAAATTTTAAACATGGATCTTAGCGATTTAATAATCGATCTCACTTAAAAAATAGAAAAAAGAAAAAGAGGCATGTCAGTACGTGAATGTTGGGTATATGAATTTCATATTGAAATAGTGTGTAGTTTTCTTTTCTTCTCTTCTCTCTTAGCTTCCACACGTGTCTGTGAAAACAATATTGTGAGTAATGATGACATGATGGTGTTTTCTTATGCAGTACCAAGTGTTTGAATTAACGTTTAAGAAAATAATAATAACATGTGTTTGTTGACTGCGCTTGCAGGTGGAATACCAGACAGAGTGGACACTAGACAGCTATGTATTCACGAGTGCACTTGTTTACTCTTCTTATCTTCTGCTTCATGGAGTACGAAATAAAATGAAAATACGGTCACCAATGTTCTAAATTAATTACTGCGATATAACTTCTGGATATGCATGCCAATGCCATAGCCATAGCCTCAGAAGACAAAACAATTTACTTCAAAATGGGTCAACATTGTTGAGTGGAAGAGACAGATTCTGATCATCATTGGAGCAGGAACAACAAGATTTCCCTTCTGTAGGGACTACCTCAGTATTGATTTGAGCACGCTTCATCACTGCAACAACTTTGTGACCTATCCAATCATGTAATTTTTTTCTTCTATTAGATATATACGTAAATATTTACTACCTTCTTCAAATTGAATAATAAAAATGAGTCACTATAACAAAATTTATTATTATCGATAATTATTTAACAATAATAAATTAATTTTTATTATTTTATTATTTAATAAAAGTATTAATGACTAATATATAATGATCACTAATTAATGTATTTATATTATACCAAAATTTACTATTAGCGATAATTATTTATTAAGAAAATTTTTAGTCACACATCGACTAGAAATAAGATAATTAAAAAGTATATAAATGGATGATAACTCTTATCCTACAAGTTTGTTTTATAAGGTTGAATTAGACCTATAACTTACTATTATAAGTTGGTATGAGATTATTCATTATTATCAAACTCAAAATAGTCCCTAAACTTGAGGGGACCGAGATAATAAAAAAAAATTTAAAAAAATATATAAGTAGAAGATAACCCTTATCTTACAAGTCTCACATCAACTAGAAATAAGGTAATTAAAAAAATTAAAAAAATTAAAAAAATATATAAGTAGAAGACAATTCTCTCCTTACAAGTCTCACATCGATTAGAGATAAAGTAATTAAAAAGTATTTATACTTATCTTACAAGTTCCACATCAACTAGAAAGTAAAAAAATATCACAAGGAATTATACATTTTTTTCGACCATTATAAATGTTTTTACCAGCATTTAGAATAATTATCGCTAAATATTTTAATGACACTGCGTACAATGACTAATATGAAAATACTGATAAAAGATTTTGTAACAATTTTTATTACCACTAAAAATCTATTTTATTATAGTGACCGTAGATGTAAAACTTCTCTTTCGAATATTTAATATTATGATAAACTTACCAGTTAAATTCTATTTTACAACACTTGATTCACCTCAAACTTGACAACTGTTCTTTTACATGTATAATAAAAATTATACAATATTATTTTTATAATTATCTTTTTTTATCATTAATAACATTTCTCTGCATAATAAATAAAGTGATATAAAAAAGTAGACACAACAGTAATATCGTACAAATTGTTATATAATTTTTATTGTACTTATAATATTATTTGTTAAATATAAAAAATATAGACATAAAAAAAAGCGTAAAAATATTTTTACTAGTAGTTAAAATGTTTCTTCCCCATATGTATGTTGCAGTTCTTGACTGATTTCGTCCTACAGTTTTTTGACCGATTTCGTCCTTCTACAGCTAATATTAGCTGTGAATTTGTACATGGCCAAATTTGACTTAATTTGAAAATTGAATTTGATTGCTAGGTAAAAAAAATTAATAAATAAAATTGTAGTGAATGATACATACAGATATAGTATCACTGTATCAATCTTCTCTCAGAGACAAAATAAAAAAATAAAAAAATAGTATCATATGATATCAGTGTCTCGCCTAGACTGACGGAAAAGAAAAGAAGAAAAGAAAAAAGAAGTAAAATGTAAAAAATAATAATAATAATAATAATAATAAAGAAGTAAAATAAAAAAAATTAAAATAAAAGGTAAGTACATAATTGAAAATACTTCTATTGTGGTTAATATCCAACAGATTCAAACCACCGTATTAAAATGCTGAATGGCTGAGGATTCAAACTCGTCAACGCCTAAAGATACATGATAAAATCTTAGAAGATACGAACAAAATTTCTTAGGAAGATGTGAATGATCCTGTGATTCAGTAATTCCCAATAGAATCTAGTGAACATAATATTTATAGTTTTTCCTTTTCACATTCAATTGCTTTTATAATTTGCGTTTTTTCTCAGAAAATCATAAGTAAGCTAAATTCGGAGACCAAAGCCCAAACCAACTTGGGCTTATTTAGTTTGGTTTAAGCCCGACACATGCTGAAAAACTAATATTTAGCAGAAATCAAGCTAAGAATAAGTTTAGACATATACATATATATA